TGGTGCTGCTGGTGGTGGTGCTGCTGATGATGATGATGCTGGTGGTGGTGGTGGTGGTGGTGCTGCTGCTGCTGATGACGAGGATGAGGACGACGAGGACGAGGATGACGAGGATGAGGACAAGGACAAACAACGAGGATGACAAAGCCTTTTTTGTCCCGACCCACCGAAGTACTTACTGGAGCTTGGGGCTTGGCCCTTGTTTATATCATCGAAAAACACAATTCAAAATATCTCATGTACGCATTGCGTCCCTATGTTCTTGTTCCAGGTGGTTTAGCTGGTCTGTCCATGATGTTTTATAGAAGTTCAAGTATAGCATTATATCTGGCTTCAAAGCTTTCCGAGGTATGAATAATTATTATGGTTTGTTAATGTGCATTGTGTAACAATGTGAGTATTAGTTGTAAAGGCGTATATGAGGGAAGAGATGTGTGAGACGAGGAAAGGGTAACTAGCTTTTTCTCTTCTTTTCACGTATCTCTTCCCTCACGCGCTCCCCTAAAAACTCTCGCACTTCTCCAGTCCAGCACCTGCTATGTGGGCTATACCTCTCTACACCCAGGAATACAAATGGTTACCAGTGAACTGTTAGGGCAATATGACAAAATGCTGGGGGTAGCCTGCAATGGACTAGCATTCCATCCGGTGGGGGGGGGGGGGGGGGGTAGCAATACTCCCAGCCGCTTCATGCTACTGCAACTGGGACAAGCTCCGGCGATGTGGGTCACTTTGACCTGCGTGCAGACTGTTTATTTCCCCCCTGGATGTGATGCTAGTTCACCACAGGTCTCCAGCATTTTTATCTCTGTCAATGATTTGCCGGTACTTGTTTATACAGCTCAGTGAAAAGAGGTACAGAACTGTATTAACGTGTCTTGCCCAAGAGCACATATCAGGCTTGAATTCTCACTCTCTGTCACGTGCACTGTCTGAACATTTTTAGGTCACACCAACTCCATAGAGCAATCTAAACATAGACATGTTTTTAAATTGTGTTTGTTTTTTACCTTGATTGCAGGTTTTGTACAAGCAGGGTATAGCAGCTGGAATTCTGCCATCTATACCTTATGCTGAAATTTTAGCCTACTCATTCTCAACTGCATTCTTATTTCATGCAGTAAGTAACTCCAGGGGGGGTATTCAGGTATAATAGTGACGGGGAGGCTCGAAGATCTTTTGGGGTTTGAAATTGCGATCTGAGGACTTTTTGGGGGTTAAAAATTTTGTGGTGGCTTTTTTTGGGTGGAAAATTTTGGTAAGAACTTTTTGGGGGTTGAAAAAAAGCGTAACCCAGGGTTCTCATTTTAATGTAGAGAAAAAGGACTTTTGTGGGTTACGTTCTGGGCTGTTGGACTTTTTTGGGGTCTGGTTTTAGCCTAATAGGACTTTTGGGGGTCTAGCAATTTGGCCTCATTCGAGCCTCCCCGTCACTATTATACCTGAGTACCCCCCCTGGGTAAGTAACATATCTTTGATATGGAAAACAAACAGACTCTCTTACTTTGTGCACTTAATTCTAACCCCATGTGCGAGAGAGCGTCTGAGATTCGACCTGAAAAATTCCATTCCTGTGTTTTATTGCTATCGAAAATTCAACACCGACCGACACACCGACCAGCAACCAATCAGACCCTACAAGGATCTCTGTGGAGCTATAACGTCATCAGTATGGAATCTCCGATATCTCTGGAGCGAGTGGGAGAAGCATTGAGCGTGCGAAGAGAGACGTCTGTTTTACTTAAGCTAGCATTTGTTGCCCCGAGCACCCAAAAATCTAACTGTACTGTCATTATGCCCCCAGGGGTTTATTTCTTTCAAGACCTTGTTTTTTTGTTGGGGGGGGGGGGGGGGGGGGTGAGGTGGAGTCTTGTTAGAGAAGAGGGGGTGTATTTGAAACCCCAAATCAGCTAGCGCACAAAATATATTTATGAGACTGTTTAATGTTAATTTGCTTTAATACCAGAGGAGGGCTTAAAATGGAGAGGGGGGAAGCTTATTAGAAAAATAGAGGGCTTAAAAGAGAGAGGGGGCTTAATAGAGCTTTACCATATTCTAACTGTTGTTTTTGTTGTTGTTTGTTAGTGTGTATGGGAAGTTCACAGCGTCCGGCCATCTTACTGGCGATACCTGAATGTTGTCACAGCTAGGAGGTTGGGGCAAACTCACTATTCTGTTATGTATCACGCAAGTTTACAGCAAACGTAAAGTGGCTGTCACCGTAGAGTTTTTGACCATGTTGCACCATAAACAATCTCATTAAATCTAACGAGTTCCCAAAAGTAGAGAAGCAGAAAAGAGATAACAAGGAATTCTGCTCCTTGGGGGGGGGGGGGGGGGGGGGGGGGGACTTTCATATAAACATGATAGGGTGTTGTACCTTTTAGGCGTTAAAATTAGTGGTTTGGTACCACTTAGTGTTAAAATCTAAAATAACCACTGTCAGAGCTATCCCGGTGCCTTTTAGGGTTTGAAGCTGAGAAAAAAAGAACCTCTTAGGGGTGAAAATGAGTTTAGGCCACACCTAGAAAGAGGATAGGCCATTCCAAGTTGCCTTTTGCCTCTGTTTCAAAATGAGTCCTAGCCCCAGGGGCGGGGGGGGGGGGGGGGGTACTCAGGTATAATAGTGACGGGAGGCTCGAAGACCTTTTTGGGTTGAAATTTGCGATCTGAGGACTTTTTGGGTTAGAAATTTTGTGGTGACTTTTTGGTTGAAGATTTTGGTAAGGACTTTTTGGGGGGTTGAAAAAAAAGCGTAACCAGGGTTCTCATTTTAATGCAGAGAAAAATGACTTTTGGGGTTACGTTCTGGGCCGTTGAACTTTTTTTGGTCTGGTTTTAGCCTAATAGGACTTTTTGGGGTTTAACAATTTGGCCTCATTCGAGCCTCCCCGTCACTATTATACCTGAGTACCCCCCCTGGGTCCTAGCACACAACCTTTCATATGGAAATGAGTTTGATTTGCAAGACAATAAATGTGGAAGTAAAATCATTTCCATATGAAGTTGTGCACTAGAACTTGTCTTGAAAACAGAGGCCAAAGGCAAATCGGTATTGGCCTATTGCGGTATTGGCCTATTGCGGCGGTTTCCCTTCACTTTTATATGGGAGTTCTCCCCGGGAAAATTCTGGTGGTTTAGAGTGAGTACAAAGGTTGTGGTAGTTTTTTTTCTTCTCTTTTTTGAGTAAGTAAAGACTTTATTGAGCATTATGATTACTTATACTACTTACAATTTGATGCTCTACTTACAATACCTTACATTACATCCAATACGATACTTACATTACTTACAATACGGTACTTACACTACTTACAATACGGTACTTACACTACTTATAATACGATACTTACACAACTTACAATACGATACTTGCACTACTCACAATACAGTACTTACACTACTTATAATACGATACTTACACAACTTACAATACGGTACTTACGCTACTTATAATACGATACTTGCATTACTCACAATACAGTACTTACACTACTTACAAATGCTAATTTATACTTGCATAACAATACTTACACTACTCGCAAAAGCGATTTCGCTGCTTATATTGCGATTACTTACACTACATTGTTATTACTAACTCTATGTTTAACTCAAAACAGTAGATATATTATTAATGAAAATAGATAAATTTAAATTAAATATAGCGAAAATAAATATATACTGAACATACTATTTTAAAATTATTATTTCTATATTATGTAATTAGTAACGTTTACGTGTCATAGCACATTAAAATATAAACTGAAAATTACGCGCGCTCTGATTGGTTAAAAACCATGTTTTATCAGAGTATAAAACATAGAAAAGCGTGTTTTATCGTTTCGCGCGCGTAAATCTATATTTTAAAGCACATAAAGAAGCCAAAACCATGTATTATACTGTCATAAAACACTCCGGGAATTTGAGAACACTCGAGAAATTTAGAAAACACTCGCCTGCGGCTCGTGTTTTCTAAATTTCTCTCGTGTTCTCAAATTCCCGTCGTGTTTTATGACAGTATAATACATGGTTTTGGCTTCTTTATTTGTTAAATACAAATAAATATTAACATAAATAAAGTAAGAAAGAAAGAAAGAAAGAAAGAATGAAAGAAATAAGTAAATAAATAAAAAACTTTACAAATAACTATTTACAAGGCCTTTCACTAACCCTTTCACTCCCAAGAGTGCTAAGTTGCCAAACATAAACAGTACCACATCATGAAAGTACTACTCAATAGCTTTCATTTGAATGGTCACACACTAGGATTTCATCCACAGACTCAAAAGTTACAACAACATTTATTGACTCAAGGTTTGACTGTGGGAGTGAAAGGGTTAAAAAAGAAACTGAACGTTAAAATGAAGTTAACACTACATATGCCTTTTGTATTTTATTATAAACGTTCGGTTTCTTTTTAAAGTTTTTTTTTTTGCAGTGAAAAGCGCCCAACCATTACCACTCGACAAAGTTTTTGATTAATTTGTGACAACGTTTTGACAAATTTCTCATGGCTTTCGTTTCAACTGGCCAATCAAAATGCAAGAACTATGAGAGGCGGAGATGTCAAGCTCCACGTTCGCGTTCTGACAATTGACATCTCCGCCTCCCACAGTTCTTGCAATTTGATTTGCTAGTTTAAATGGAAGCCATCAGAAAGTTGTCAAAAATTAATCAAAAACTTTGTCGAGTGGCAATGATAGGGTGTTCTTCACTGTAAAATCCTTAGTCTTGTAAGTAGTTATTTGTATTTTATTTAAATTAAAAATAAAAAGAGTTTGTGTTTATTATTTGCTCGCAGGTTTTGTGAGATAAACAGAGAGAAGATAGATGAATTATTTGGTACAGACAGCAGAAAGTTATTTCCAAAGGATAACTTGTACGAGTCACTAGCGAAAAGGTAGCAGTAAAGATGGTGGCAAATAATTTAGAATAAAGAATACTTAAAGTGAATAAATGAAGAAATGTTCTCAAGTCGAAATACTCAGAAAAAAATTCTGAGCTCCTCAATGGGAATCGAACCCATGACCTTCCAGGTGCCGGTTGGACGCTCTAACCACTGAGCCTTACTCACCATGAGTCCTCCATAGTATTTCGACTTGAGAGCATTTCTTCATTTCTTCACTTAAAATTCTGATAATTAAATTTATGACTTCAAATCTATTTTAGTATTTTAAACAGGATTCTTGTAATGATAGGTAAAGCCGTTCGGGGCCAGACTGGCCCACACTGCCGGAGCTTATCCAGGTTTCCGTAGAATGAAGCCGACTAGGAGTATTGCTACTCCCCCTGGGTGGGATGCTAGTCCAACGTATGTTACCCGCCAGCATTTTGTCAGGTTGCCCTAACAGTTCGCCAGTACCCATCTATACTCCTGGGTGGGGAGAGGCACTGCGAGAGTAAAGTGCCTTGCCCAAGAACACAACACAATGACCCCAGCCAGGGCTCGAACCCGGACCGCTCGATCCGGAGTCCAATGCGCTAACGAGTGGTCCAAGCTCGAGCGCTGGCCGGGGTCATTGTGTGTGTTCTTGGGCAAGATACTTTATTCTCACAGTGTTTCTCTCCACCCGGGACTGGCAAATTATTAGTCTATTAGGGAAACCTGACAAAATACTAGGGGGGGGGGGGGGGGGGGGTTCCTGCGATGGACAAGCATCCTATCCAGGGGGAGTAGCAATACTCCTAATCACTTTATGCTAGGGAAACCGGAGTTAAGCACTGGTCTGTTGAGCTACTAGGCTCAGAAATGGCTTAAGTTTATTGTGACAGCGTGAAAAAAACAGGTGAAAACACCGACTGGTTTCCCAGGCTATTGTAAGAGATGTTGAACTGATCGCTTTCTTGAAGTTTCTTCGCTTAGAAAAAAAGTGTTGTAGACAGTCGAAAGACTAGGAAGAAATATTCTCCATTCTAGCTAGTGAACGCCGCTCTATTTCAATTTAACTAATACAATTAAAACAGTTTTTGCCATCCTTGCATGTTATTATTTCTACGTACATGAATACAAAGTTTACTGCTACATCACATATGACACAGTAAATATACACCAGGAGTTGAATTTTTCAATTCACGTGAAAATTACTTCAGACAACAATGGATAGTTTCAAATGTTCTGTTTTGTAACAATGGTAATGAATCAAATAAACATTCTTATGAGTATCATCTGACAATCGCTTTTAATATTATTTGGTTGTGTTGTCTCTCTTTTTTCCATTTGTATTTTTGTTTGATTGGTTAACTGGTTGATTGATTGATTGACTGATTGACTGATTGATTGATCGATGGATGGATGGTTTGATTGATTGATTGATTGATTGATTGATCTATTAATTGACTGATGATTGATTGATTGATGGATGGTTTGATCGATCGATCGATCGATTGATTGATCGATTGATGATCACGTTATACAAGAACGAGCTCAAGAGCAGTACAATGGCTTCCCACCCACGTGCGCTGTACATCTTGGTGCACATTTCTTAGCCGTTCTACGCAAAACAACAACAACATGAAATGACGAAACTATCGATCAACATACGTTTTGAAAGCATGTTCCATCGCGCCTCGGTTGCCCCTCAAACAAAGGCAACGCGACAGCTGGAAAAATCAGTTACAAAACTCGTGAGAAATTCAATGGGTTGACCGTTTCGTAACAAAGTACAAAGTACGTACTTGTCGCTCCGCCTGTAGCGCGAACTTACGTCATCTGTGACTGTACGTGCGATTTTGACCGCGCGCTGGCGACACGACGCGAGAGACGGAAACGGGCGAATCGTAGCTACGGAACTGAGGACTTGCCCAAAAGTCGAGCTCAGGAATTTTTTTCCGGGAGCGAAATAAAAAAACCGCGAAAAACGAGCGCAAAGACCTACTCCCAGACCGGAAACAAGAAGCGAAGGACTTTGAGAAAGTCTAGTTTAATTGAGCAGCACAATGGCTTGACAGTCCTCTGCATTTAAAGATTGTGAAATGTGGCAAATTCTTCTGTTTGTGGAGAACGTCGGTGAACCACGGTGGTTAACTGAGCTTTTCCATGTTTATTTTGGACTGGAACTTTTTCTTTACATCTTCAGCTATAAAACGTTTTTGGTGTTCCTAAACAAGAGGAAATTATTGCATAAAAAAGAACTTATTTCCAAAATGGAGTGAAAATTCATTGTTTGGGAAAACCAATATGGCCGCGATGACGTCATGGACCCACGTTCTATAGGATAGTTTCAGACACTGATAGACAAAAACTGGTCTGAATAAACAACGGAGATGCTTATAAACCAGAAATCATTATTAAATGGCGGCTTCTCCGCCGTAATTGCTCAAATTTCCTTTTATGATGTAAACTGTTGTTAATGGGTTATTTCAGTTGAGTATTTACGTATGGGCGCGGCCGTTAGACCTGTAAATTCCTTACGAGGGCACATTAACCCGAGCAAGGAAATGAAGTCACGGATTACGGTGAAAGTCTGTGACCTCCGTGAAATTTGGACCCACTAGTTCCGTTGTGCAACCGATATCCCAATTTTGCCTGTTTCACTCCACTAAAGTTTAAACATATCAGTTTAATAAAAGTTTCTAGCTCAGTAAGCACACGGCACGGTTTAGAATTGTTTTGAGCGTATAAGCTGTTTGCTGAGGTGTATTGGCTTCAAAATGTCCTAACTCAAAAACTAGTTTTCTGTCGCTGCATGATTTTTAGCTACTAAACTTGTTTTAGTTGATGTGATAGAAACCTTTTAGATTCTAGTCCGAGTATACCACGCTCTGGAGTTCGAGTACGACTATGCGTTTTTCCAATAGTAAAATAGTGCGCGCGCTTGAACCAGTGTCATTTTGGCGGGAAAAAGGTTATAGTCGCCATTTTACTACGCGTTCTCTTGCGAAAATGTCATAGTAGTGGCGAACACAAGCAAACAAAGTTATGTAACCTCATGCTACAGAATAACTATCCTCAGGCAACGCAACTGCGTCAATTATGTTGCTCACAAACAGTAAAGAGAGAGATCATTTTGGGATACATATTTCCTTATTATATGACATAGCATTTTAGCGCGCGAATACGCACCAAAACGAGTGCAAATATGAGACCGTATTACACGGGTCTTAGTCCCCTGACCGCGCGCTACGGAAAACACAAACTTTTCGCTGAATAACCTCTTTTATCTGTCTTATAGTATTTAGGCTCGATTTCCAGCTGTGCCGGCGCACGGGCAATTTTTTTTACGCCCACTTCAATATGGCGGATTAAGACTTTTTTTCCACAAAAAAGAGAACACAGTTCACGAATTGAGTTTATCAGCACAATCGAGCCGCTATAGCTGCCCGAAACACTACTTTTTAAAGACAATAACGTGCTCCCATAACCAATACTAAACGGTTTACTAAGCGGAAAAAATCATAAAATCGTTGCCAACCATTTTTTAACCCCAAACAGTAAATCGTTGTTTAACTGTTGATTAACCTGAAACAATATTTAGTCGCTTAATCCCTTAATCGCCATCTTGAAGTGGGCGTAATTAAAAAAATACCCGGACGGGGACAAGTCGTGGGTGTAAGCTTGCGGCGAAAGAATATCCACCGAAGATTTGTTCCGGAAGTTTTACAAAGTATTAGTGGCTAACGCCCAACATTAGAAGTGCTTTTAATCCGTTTTAATATTTTGGTTGTAAACGTCATCTAAAAACTGGACAACTTTAAGTGGTCGTTAATTATAAGGGCGTTACAGAAATAGGTCTCGCACACAACTGAATATGTGATGTTCTCTAGAAAAGTAACTCGAAATTACTTCAATTTGAAGGAAATATTTGGACCGTTTTTATTCGGACATAAAAATTCTAGCAAGAACACTTTCTGACGTTTTTCTTTTGGCATATTTCATCGACGTTTTTTAAGTTTTCCGGACTTTGAAAGGGTGGATGAAAATAAATGCGCACATCGCAGTAAAAATCTACTAGTCTACTAATGCAAATGAGACAATCTGATTGGCTGAGCTGGCTGGAGGCCGTCTACAAAATTGCGGTTTCTTTTTGTTTCTACGAAGTTTCGGTGGATGATTTAGAGTTAATACTAGACAATTGTTATGATTTTTACTAAAACAATTAGATTATCGATCTCAATTTCTATGATGTGATTCACATCATAGAAATCTCGAGCTCCTAATCTAATTGTTAATTAGATATTCGTTCTCAGTCAATAAATGACTTTCAAAAAGTATTTTCTTTTGTCCACTAGACGTTTGAATTTTCCGGCATTTTAACCGAAATACCCGCCTAGAATTTCACATTTTTAATTGATTTCGTGAATGCGAAAGAAATGAAATATTATTTGGTGGACAAATTCACTCGGTCAGTCGATGGGCGTGCTATTAACTTATGTTCACTCATTATATCGAGACTACGCTCCACATACACTCTTTTTATTTTTATTTTTATTTTATTTTTATAAGAACGTTGAGGCTGAGATTGACCAAAATTTTAAGAACATGCTAAAGAACATAGCCAGGTTGAGACTTAGCTAAGAACATTTTTATTCACTTGGACCGCTTGTTTCTTGCATCGAGCTCTCAATACAATATTCCAGTATCCTTTCAAAAAATTAACAAAATGTAACATTTCAGATATCTCAGTGAATAAGCAGTTCAAATCAGCTCAAAATACTTGAATGCACAATTTTTATAGTAACAACATGAATTTCTATCACATAAAATGTAAATACATTTTCATGGTCACGTTCGAATCTTTTTTGTGAAATTCTATACCATGTAACTTAAGAACATGTTTTAAGAACGTTTTCAGGCTGAAATCGCCCAAAAAATAAGAACATTCGGTTTTGGTTCAGCCTCAGCTCGAAAATTAGACGTTCTTATAAAATAAAAAAAAGAGTGTACTTGAATATACTTTCCATCGTACGATTTTGCATGGAAGGAAAGTTGAAGTGTTTATCTTTACTTACACCTGTTACAGAAAAACGGGCCACTCTTTGTGCGAGCTTACATAAATTCCACATGGAAGCAAAGCCTGCGTACAAGAGCTTGCAAAGGAATGGGAAAGAGAACTGCCGAAGATAAAAACCTGGG